ACCCTGGGCCGCCGCAGCAAGGACTCAGCCTCGACACATGGGTCGCCAGCTCTACCCACTGAGCCAACCGGGCGCCCAATAATGTAATTTTTAAACACTGAATCACAGCAACGTCCACTAATCACAAGGTTGGCGGTTCAATCCCCGGCTCCTCCCACCGACAGTGTTGGGGCTGCTGGTTTCTACGTGCGGTGTCATGTCGCTTTAGAGCATTTGGGATAAAAACCTCCTCCTCCAGACGGTAGATGTTAATGTATGCGGCAGGAAACTGAGGGAACTGGAAAGGAAGCAGACTTTAATTTGCTGTTATGAAAGTTTTATGAAAGCTCAAGAGTCGAGCCGAGAAGCAGCTGAATGATGTTTTCATCGGGGGAGAAAAACCTTCTTTAAATCTTTTAACCACGAGAGATTTGCGATGCATGAAGCTGGTTGTGAGTGGATGAGAGAACGTTTCATCAGCCAAACCTTTTTTTTTTTTTAAACGTTGAAACATGAAACTCTGGCCGAGGAGGAGCTGAGTGATGTTTTCAGCAGAACACTGGAGGTTATATACACAACTTAAAGAGTTCCTGTACAACAGAATCACTGACTGTAAATTAACAATCAGCTTTAGTCTTTGTGGCAGCTCACTGAATATAAAACACACAAATCAGAGGCAATCTATGGACATTAGACTTCTTCCTTTATGGAGCAGTCAGAGTTGGAAAGTCTGTCCATATAATGAATACTTTTATATTAACAGTGAGTCCAATGATTAATGTGTGTCCAGCAGCAGGAATCAGCTTTATTCAGCAAGATGAATCCACCATACGCTGTTCAGCACCAAACAGCCGACAGACACAGTTAGAGACTAACTGATAAAGGACGCGGGAGATTTAGAAGCTAAAGAGACAGTTTTTTTTTTCTCAGGAGTTGGTGGAGACAAAACCAGAGTTAAAAGGGAGAGTAAATATCGAACGACTCCAAATGCTCCACATTTGCTGGATGGGTAAATAAGCCACAGTTTGCTAACAAGTTAGCAACAACAACTTCATGCAGCTGAGCCCAAAAGTCTACACTGGATCTTCAAAAAACATCAGTTTTAGGGTCATTATTAAAACTTAAACTTAAAAATCACATACAGGGTTGATAGTTTTACTTTAAAAATGGAATTACTAATTACGTGTTAAAAATGTAATCAGTAACCTGATCCGAGTATCACGATATAAAAGTAAAGTAACTAGATTACTTTTGGATTACCTCAACACCAAATATGCAAATAAAGACAAGAGAAAAGAAATATCAATAAGATGACTTTTAAGTATTCTATAATACAATTATTCCCCATTTTTACTGGATGTAACTGCAATCTGATTGCGTCTTTTTTTTGTAACTGTAACGATTACATAATCAGATTATTACTTTTTTCAGGTAACATATAATCCGTTACTGCCCCAAGCCTGATCACATAGTACTCAATACCTCTGTATTACTCCCTAAAACTAATGTGGCTCACTCACTTTCTTTGCATGTATGAATACAGTTTACTGACATTATTGTCTGAATACATCTTTTTATTTGAAGGTTTTTAACAAAGAAAATAATTCTAGCTTCAAATTATTTTCTTTTATTTCTTATTTAGTTGTTTCTATTCTCTTAATTCTGAAGTTACTCGAAAGCAGGAAGACCTTGTGAGTCTTTTGATATCGAAAAAAGTACCATAAAACAGTTTAATTGTTCCCAGTGTCCCATCAGTGCTGTTTGTATGATTGACTCAGACGTTACCACCAAACCATCAAGTTCTACAAATATCAGACAACCAGATCTAAGTCTCAACCATCACTTTCACCCGCTATTTGTTCAGCAACTGCATGAATGTGAAATAGAAAACCTCCCTCAGCTGGAGGAACAAGAGGTTCACATATGAGCTCCTCCAGCACAATAATTCACACCAGAACAGTCTCTGAGAATGTGCAGCACAAATCAAGCGCGCCCAGAGTCCTCCCAGATGTGACGAACGTGGCGTGGCACAGACATCAGGTCCGTTTGCTTTGCGGTTGGCGGGTAAATCCTCATCACCAATGGCAGCACACACACACAAATAAAACGTATGGTGAATTACACTCCCGAGGTTCAGCACTCTGCAGCAAATCTTGAAAAATTCATGAGGCCAGAAACAAACTCTCTCTCTCTTGATTTGTTCTCTCCTCCCATCTCTAATTTCCATCTCTCACTTTTCTTGTCTCCGCTGCTATAAAGCAGGAACCCTTGTTACCTTACCTCGCTCTCCTGCCTCCATCCATATTAACGTTTTCCTCCCCCCGCCCTCTCTCTTTCTCTCTATCTCTTCCAAATTAAGTGCACCCACTAACCCTCCAACACGCTGCAAGCTGCCAAAATTTAAATTTATGAGTGCGCTTCATCAGTATTCACTGTCAGAATCTCAACAAAGCTCCAAAACCTTCAAATATTTTGAGCCAACAGTGTTTTTCATCATTATTGAGGCTCAGAACGAGTGAATCTGCAGCTGCGTTTCTGAGAAATGATGCACATTTTGTGAGTGAGCTATAAAAGGAAAGGCCATTTGATAATCTGTGTTGGAAAAACATAATCATTTACACATTACACATTACTCATTAAATATGAATTACATTACTTAACAGCAGTGAAGTTTTTTTTTTGGAGGAATAATTGAGTTTCATTATCTTACAACGCTCAGAAAGGTTGAATTTATATTTATTCTACTGGTTGCAAGCACCTGTAACTCACCGGAAGTCTTGTGTACCACTACCTCTCATTAGCACGGCAACATTTTATTAATTCATTGAAATTAATTTAATATATCTATTTGCAGTTATTGTTGCTGATCTATGTTAACATTGTAACTGTAGAAGACTGAATTCTCCTTCTCAGCTGCTCTGTTGCTTTATTGCGTGTGTGTGTATGTGTGTGTTGTTGATTTGTGAATATGTGTGTTTTTGTGTTGTCATCCAGTCTCACTGTTCCCGTATTTGTTTGTGTTTTCAGTTCCTCTTCCTGTCAGAGGTATTACAGTGGAGAGCCCAGACCACTCCAGACCACGTCCTGTACACACTGCTCAACTCCAGGGTAACGCGCGCGCGCACACACACAC